CTCTCCAATCCTGAAACATATTATCTGCCGGCGCGGTCGCCGCTACTCACTCACTCAATAACAGCTCACTGACACGCGCTCCGCTCCTAATCTTCCTGGGGTTTTTGGCGACTAGGCCCGCCATTGAAGACTTTATAGTAAAAGATCTCTCGGCACTTCCTCAAAAGACTCCGCCGAAAGCTCTGCTGTCATGTGTAGAAGTGGTTTGGATTGCGGCCCTTAGCTAGGAAAGACAGAACAAGTTGGAAACAAATGTACGGGAATATCAGATATAGACAGTTGCTTACACAAGATGAATATGGGGACGAATTCCGTTGTATCTCACTTTCTAAAGGCACACCCTCCGTACAGATCTCCATAACCCTAACCCATGCGTTTTACACGTAGTTTTAACTCGTTTATCTATTAGTCGTGCAAAATCCGTCTAAATGGCGTTTAAATCATGATTGGAACCCGCATCAAAGCCGTGTAAACCGCGTGCAATCGCATGTGGCATCTATAACCACCCGATACGCCTAGCGATTTGCAAGTTATTCGAGATCTGTACAGTAGCACACACGAACCTCATTTTAGATATTAGAAATCAACAAGTCTGAAACTTGTTGCACGTATGGAGTAAAGTTTGTCATTTCAGCTGCAGAAAAGAGCAAACTTTTTCCCCTCTCTCTCTCAATCAATACTGCGTGTGACTCCTTCAACCTTTTGCCTCCTCTGTTCTCCAGGCACTCTCTGGGGTAGATGTTTCATCAACAAATACCAATTCTTCTGCAGATTTTATTTTCATACATGTATGGCGTATATGTCATGAATACTCACATGTTCCGTGGCTTCATTGTGTGTTTGTGCATGTCCCGGGCAGGTTGCGTGTCTGTCGCTATGAAAAATTAATCGTCCGCCGTCTGTAAGGTTGTTCATGAGTGTTTCTAACGTTTGATCCGAGCGTATAAAAGCCATTGTACATCATCAGTGAGGATTGTAACATTTGGTCCTAACAAAAGATGATTAACCGTTTTGAGTCAACAACGGTTTTTGAAAAGATGCTTTATGTCCCCTTCACGCGAGAGGCAGAATGAACCGGAATGTCGCCTGAAGAAAAATTCTTTGTATATTTCTGGATATTTGAAGTGCATTCTAGAATTCTCACCACCTTCCAAATGTATCTGTGGTCATTCTTGTGGTCGGCCCGCTCAAAACTTTCCAGGTGAATACGAAGTGGACAGATATCGAAGGGCATTCAATGTGTGTTCTGAATCTGAATCTTCCTGCCTTCAATCAGCGTTCTTAACATCCTGATTGAATTAATGAAGAACCAAAATATGCCTCGGTATTTGAACTACATTGTACTCCACCACTAGTGTGAAGGGAATGTAATTATTAAATTTGGATTTTTTTTGTTCGGTTGAATATTTTGATAGGAAATGTATATAGCTACATTTATGTGTGATAGCAATTTGTACTAACGCCGTCGCATTAATTTGCTAAAAGCAAACTGCTGTACTCTTTTACGAGAGAAGTTAATGAGACAACACTCGCCCATCTCATCGATTTTCTAAAATAAGATTTAAAGCTTCTCTTACCGGAAATGAGGTCTGTTTCTCTTCCTAGAAAATTGATATGATAGCGCCAGCTATCTCATTCATTTACCAGAAGAATTCATGTTCTCTCGACTTGATTTTTCTTCTCGAGAATGGATTGACAGATGTTATTTAATTCAAGTTTCTAAAAAAAAACAGCAGTTGACTAGTAATAAGTAAAGCAGAGGTGAACAACTTTACCACAAAATTCCAAATCTTATGGAATAAACCTCACAAACCAAAACTGCACCATTCTCCTCCTAGGCCTACAACGATAAGGAACTCTCCATTCAATATCGATATCATATATGTATGTAACACTTAATGTGTTTCTGTTACATTTCTCATGGCCCCCCTTAGTATAGTTCTTCTTTTCTCAAAGAATCATCTGAAAGGCGCCAATCTTGTCACAGCAGAGAATAGTTTTCTCCTGTATTACACTAGATCGATGTGAACACTCTCCATCTCCACATCAGGCTGTCTAAACCCCCTCTCTTGACGTGGCCGAGCCGACCCGTGTAGAGTAGACACTTTGATACACCCCTGCACGGTAAACCTGTCCTGACACCTTGTTTTTCTTCCCGCCATCAGAGCGCCGTTCTAATGGTGTTCTGTCTCCGCGTCCCCCCCCCTCGGCTGACGTATAACCCCACAATATGCCAGCCTGTCATCTTACACACACAAAAAAACTTTCACAATGAATTTTCCCTGAACTCTGCACGAAAAGTTGGATTTGTTGTTACCTCCATGAAAAATGGAGGTATTGTTTTTGGCGGCGTCTGTCTGTGTGTCTGTGTGTGTGTCTGTGTGTCTGTGTGTGTTTCCGCAACTTTGTAGTCAGCATAACTTCATAACGCCTTTATGGATTGTGATGATATTTGGTATGCTGATAAGTCTTAGGAAGACAAACGTCAAGGTCAAATATGGGCCTCCTGGTGGATGACCTTGGTACTGCAGCAGAACTTCCGGTTTTTGTATCTTTGGCCCTGAACATGCTATGGTCTTGAATTTTTGGTGACAGATAGCTTTTCCTGTCAGGAATAAGTGGTGTGGGTTTGGTCCCCCTAGCAGCTTGTTCAGGAACTGCAGGGGACTTTCGGGCGAAATCTTTGAAAGCCAATAAGTCCAGATAGGAACAGCATATTTTCATCATTTTTGGTGTGTAGGTATCTGACAGAGAGATGTACATAATTAACTGCAAATTATGCAAATGAGGACTTTATTTGCATAATTAACGAGGAAATTCTATAATTACAGTGTTTTACATTATAGAACTTTCATACATGTAATGTATGTAACCTATGGCAGATGGAACATCAACAGATACTAATTATGCAAATGATGACCTAATTTGCATAATTAATGCAAAAAAATCTATGATTTCTCAATGGTGAATGATGGGAATGTCATACTTGGGACATCTTTAAGTTAATCAAAAGTTAACATCACGATGCATATATTATGTTAATGCAGAGGTCATTTGCGTAATTAAAGAAGAAATTTACATTTACATATCAAGCCCATATTTCATGGAGGTATGAGATCTTGGAACTCTTGTTGTGCAATGTAAAGGAATCTAAAACTGCTACTGAGCATACTTTTTTACTCCCCTGCCGCGACGAAAGTATGGGTTTTTCGTGACCCCCAGACAATCAGTGGTCGCCACCTTCGCGCAATTTCCCGTCGCCATGGCAACGTCTTCCGCGGAATGCCAGGAGGAGGCACCGCGGCAGAACGTAAGGAAGCGTAATTTGCCCGCCGAGGAGAGAGCGTGAGGTCGCGGCGTCGCTCTCTCTCTAGCGCTGCAGCCTCCAAGCTATTATGAGAAGGCTTTCTGTTGAGACGGTCCGCGGGCGCGCGGCGCTCTAGATCTAGTGTTCCCCACCTGTGATCCGCCCGTGGGAGGATTTTCTTCCCAGCGTGAACAGGTGAGGTGTCTAACCTGACGTGTGACGTGTACCTG